CTCTCTCTCTCTCTCTCTCTCCCTCTCTCTCTCTCTCTCTTGTCCACACATTCCTCCTTTGAAAGTTGCATCTGCCCGTTTGCGTGCTGCAACTTGCCTGTTTCCGTTGCTGTTGATGTATGCTCCCTCTCTGTTGATGTATGCTCCCTCTCCTCCCTTGTGCCATCTACTCCTGTCCCTCTGACATCTACCGCTGTCTCTCTGTCATCTACTCCCATCCTTCCCTCCCTCCCTGCCTCTCTCTCTTTCTCCCTCCTTTCCTCTCTCTCGCTCAGTCAGATCGATGCCATCCCTCTTCCTCTGGTTGATCTCCGTGGACTAGCTCTTGAAATGCATTACTTCTATGATCTATCTCATCACATGCATTGGAATAATTATGACTTGTTTCCATGTTCCAGTTTCCTATGGAGTGCCCATACTTCATGTGATGACAAATTCCACGTAAATAGCCCGGTTAAAATACTGGGCCATGCTTTCAGGGGCACATGCATCCATCATTTCTCATGATACATCGTGTGTTCATTCCTTTTGGGGTTCAAACTTCAGAAGTGACTGTTTTGAGGGTGTACCCATGGTATGTGCCTGATTGAAACGAGATACAGCATGGCATCCACACGTTCCCATACACATGCGCAATGACAAGAGAGCTTGGAGAGAGCAATTCACACCACACCGGATGAGGGAATACACAGTGGAAGCACTTAAACAAATATAAGAGAATTGAAATCAAAATAAATTTAATTTATATTGTGCTCCCTCCAGCCAATCAACGCACTCTTTTTCTCAAGAATCTCAAACACGTTGTAAACACCCCGCAAGCAATTCTTTACAAGTTTTATTGTCAGAGGGGAGTCTTCTTCTTCCTCCCTTGCCACCAAGCTCAAGCTATGGCACATACAGTGCCCAACTTATCAAGGCAGTCAACACCACTACACCCTCCTGCGTCTGACACAGCAATCTTCCGGGACCTCGAATCCCAGCTGCAAATGAAGAGTCCACTCAGCAGGGGAGCGTGGCTCCCAGGATGAAGAAGAAGAACACCGACACGATGAAGATGGAGCCTGCTACTCTCAAAGAAGGTTTCATTGAAGAGCTGCTTTGAAGGCAGCTGAAGTAACCCCAACAGCACATAGGAGGAGGGGCGCCTGGCCGTGCAGGGGCTGATGCCTTTCACCCTAGATGGAAGCACGTACGGCGAGATATGGCCGTTCGCCTTCCCCTCGATGCAGGATATGGCTGCGCTGAATGAAAAATCGCGCAGTAGCAGACACCCGACCTCCTGTGGCACTTGTGAAAAGAAACATTGAAAAAGGACCCGTTCCCCTTTGTGCTCGACACTTTTATAGACGTAGATTTGCTCTGACTTGACTTACCCTACACCGTAGGACCTACAGCCTACAGCCTACAGCCTAGGACGGAATCTAGACTTAAAAGTGGGAATAAGGGGAAGACAACAACAGGCCTACAACTCAGGTGCAGAAAAGGACAAAAGAGCAAGGCCTAGTGGTCTAAAGACTACTTGAAAGAGGAGCCCCAGCAAGTGACAGGTCCCGGGATCAAGCCCCGCTAGGCTCATAACTAACAACAGTTAGAAAACAGCCTAACGACTTAGTGTTACAGCCGCTGAAACCTGCAATTCATTCCACTCACACTAGCGCTTTTCTAAATGAATCTAACTGCAACTACGGACAGACGCGGATGAATCTGACTGTAATCATGTCCAGAGCGTAGTAGAAAAAGTCCTAGTGTGAGTAGACCCTGAGAGCGTTTTTTAGCATCCTTGGACCGTTCTGGTTTGAGCATTTGCTACATGAGAAAAAAGGATATGCTTTATTAAAACTTTCATGTCCTTGTGTTTTACGATTGCTTATTTAACGAAAGTTTTGGTTCCGTCTTATGAAGTACTGAAGCGTAGCGTTCTTGTCCTGTCTGCCACATTCAATTTTTGGCAGGTTCATTCAGAAAATCTTAATCTGGCAATTCAGGCGCTGACGCTCGTATATCAGCTGATGGCGGCGCATGAGACAATAAGTGAGCGTTTCTACAGAGCGCTTTTTGCTGTCCTCTTTTCCCCTCAACTTTCCAAAACATCAAAGGTATGTCTTCCCTCCTCTCTTCTTCATTTCTCTTTTTTTTTTCTTTTTTTTTGAGAAGGTTGTGCTTTAGTATGTGTGCTGGAAACCGGTTCCAGTCGTCTCATGTTCCTATCTTCTTGATGTTTCTGTTTTCTGCATGCACACTTGTGGTGATACCTCTAGCGCAATCACAGTCTTGTGGTAGCAAAAATAGAGATCTAACTGGAAGGAGTACTGACGACATATGTGGACATTATGCAGAAGACTGTCTTAACAATTGGTTCAGTTCTTTTGTAAGCAACGTCGTTGAACATGAGGGCGATTGTCTGCACACACTTGGATTTCGCTGGTTTCTTTTGAGGCAAAGTGTACTAGTAGGTGCCCCATTTTTTAACTGCCAGGCTGCATTGAAGTTTGACTGAATCCTTCAAATAGTCTTTCTAGCTGCTTGTTCAGCTATTCATCGCATCCACCTTGGCTTACTAGCACACACTATTCCTAGTTCCACCTGATCGTTCTGCAACTCTTGGACCTGATTGGTCCCAATCCATTAGTGGATTATGCACCCTGGGCCCAATCCAGCAGTGGATTACGCACTCTGAGCCATATCCGATTCAATGCAAGATGAAAAGGAACGGCAAACTCGTCAAGTCAGCAATGCTTTTAGCCTTAGTCAAAAGTGACATGAATACCATTGTTTGACTTTTTTCCTCCCTTTTTTTTTTATAACTAAACGCCCCTTCTATTCTTGGGGGCATCAGTTTGGTTGCTTATCACCAGCAAGCATGAGTTCAAGAAAGAGAAAGCAAAGAAAAGTGGACAGCCTTACCCTTGAGGTACTAGCCATGTGCAAGGGAGGGATTTCCCCGGTGCGCCCCTGCCCCCAAACCCTGGCCTTTCTTCAGGGGCTATGCATCTGGCCGGGAAGCTTATCAGCATTGTTTGACTTTCTGCATTCCGGAAATGTCTGTTTTTTTTAAATTTTGGGCCACATATTGTGCCTCCGACCAAACGCTTTCGACCAGCAATTGGAATCCTCCTAGGATGGTCTGGGTTAGAGAGCTCGGATGTCACTTTTGGATAACGTTTGTGGAGATGAAATCACGTGCAGCTTCACAATCGAGCAGAACCTTTCTGTGAATGTATGAATATGCAGGGGGCAATGTTCTTAGCGATTGTCCACAAGGCGATGTGTGCGGATGTCAACATCAAACGTATTGCGGCTTTTGTCAAGCGGCTATTGCAGGTACTTTATCCACTTTCTTGCTTTGTTATGATGTTGCCAAGTTGAACTCCTCCATTATTCGGCAAAGCTCATTCTTCCTCTAGTCAGGCTGGTTGATTGGTCCTTTTGGGGGCCAAGGGTGGGGGGTGGGGGGGGGGTGGTTGGTATTTGGGTTGGGAATCCTGGGACGGTTTGGGATCAGAGTTCAGTGTTTTTGACTGGACAGTGGACACACCTTACATCACTTTCCGATTCCCTCTGCATCGGAAAGCGAATTAGAAAGTGTATGGTATGGAGACCAGAGGCATTCGATTGGGAACGAGTCTCTGCAGGGCCATGTGTGGGATGGTGGCATCAGCCTCTGGCCCTCTACCATCAGGTGTGCGTTTGCGCTCTATATGCTGTATCAAGCTTTTGATGTGGCAAAACTTGAAAAAGCGCAGTTGAGAGAAGCATATCTGTAAGAGGCAGAACTTGCTTACGGTCACTAACACTGTGTTCAGTGTTTTTTTTTTTCCGGAAAGTTTACGAAGGCAACCCTCCAACTGCTCAAATGGGCCCGGAATCTCTGGTGATCGGGATTGCTTTTAGAGTGCCTTCATTGTCTGCAGGACTTCCGCACCAGCAGTATACCAGAAGAAATTGTGTTCCTATGTCCTGGTCGTGATACATGAGAATCGGAGGGCTAACAAGGACTGCTATATATTGAGCCGGAGGCTCAGCTGGTCAGCCAGTCAGTGTATGTCAGTCTGTCAATTACTCTGTCTATTGGCCATTTTCACACCCACACCTTTCATGTGCAGTGTGCTGAGCGATGCGCCATTTCTGGGTGCAGCATACCAAAAGTCAGAAAACACAATTAGAATATTCAACAAGTAAAAAAAGTAAAAATATAATTCCTGAATGAATTGAAAGAATACGTTCTTAAGGCAGTGCCCCAGCCGTCCTGCGGGACATCCGTTGAAATTGGGACGATACATAGAAGATTAGCATGGCCCCCGTGCAAGGATGACACACATTAAAAAGGGAAGGCAACGTCCCAGCCAAATGTTGCTCCATTCACATGTTTCGTATCCCTTCTTTTGTTTTTTTTTCTCGTGGATTGTATTCCTTTTTAATGGCACCTTTTGGTCTGTGCAGACCATGTGCATCACACCATTGCGCTGTGCACGATATTGCCGCCTGTGCTCGTGATGTGTGCATAGTGCACGGCACATATAATCACCGTTTAGCTGTCATTCAGTCAGTCAGGTCAGCCAATCTGTCAGTTATTTCGTCAATCCGGCAGACTGTCGCACAGCAGCCAGGTTGCGGAAAGGAAAAAGTTCTTCCTCCCCCCCCCCCCCCCCCCCC